GGTGCCTGCTGAGGGCATCTGTTCAAGAATCGTGTTTGCTGAAACTCCTAGTAGACTTACGTTCAACACAAAGGCCCTTGGGAGTCAGCTCAAGGATGCAGTGGCATCATTTGTTTGCTGTATGTGAGATGTTAGAGGAAAAGGCGAAAGTTTGTGGACAGTTAAGAAAGTAGAAGAGTACCTCATTAAATGAATCTTAGCAAAGTTGAAATCGCTTTGCCCAGTATTTTTATCTCAGCTTTGCCAGAGGTGGTGAAGTCCTAGGTCTTGTACACGTTTGGTTTTTTACACTCTCTATTTATAACCTCTTGTCAGGCTTCTGGGTCTGTTCTATGTTTAAATTCTGTACAAAATGTCAGCTTCATATACAGGCCTTCAAATAGATTTAAATTTTATTTTTTTAAACAGAGTATAGATATTGTTAACAGAATCATCTAGGTGGTCAGGCAGTACCTTCATTCTACAACGGAAAATTTTCTCCCTGCCTCACTTCTACAACTCCATATTTTGTTTCTGCAGACTTCTAGTAAATACTACAAACTTTCTTCTCTCCTGTGTGAGTGTTCGGTCTGCTACACTGTTGTCTGTTGAGTAACTCCTTGGTCGGATCCCAGAGGGTGCTGCATTTATAACTCTCTCCCCTCTTTCTGGGAGCGTAACTTAATCCAATATAACTGTGAATGTTAAGGACTTCTCGGGGTTGATCTTTCACTACAGGCTGTTCTAGAGAACAGTAATGATCTCACAAAAATAAGTTGCATGTTTGATTAATTGCAGGCTTTTGGCCTCCCAACTGGACATTTGGGTGTTTTCTTGCTGACTTCAGCTCTGACGAGGTATAGATGCTAAGATTGGGCATCGTAATCTTGAAAGTGAGCATGTTACAGTGAATAACATGGCTCTGGCAAACATGTTGATCTTAATAACTTCAGTTATGTTCTTCTGAGTTCTCTTTCTTTTGGTTTGCTAGTATCATAGCTGATTTTTTTTTTTCCCCCTCCAGAATTAAAATAAACAATCGTTTGTTGCACTGACTTTTTTCTTTTCCAGTAAAAAACACCCAAGCCCCCCAAACCCCAGTATCTGTCTTGAGCTCCATTATGTACATATGGTTTTGCTGGGAGATTAACCTCTTGAAGAGGATTCAGTGTTAACTGACTCATTGGCTCCTTATTTGCCTTCAGTCTAAGAGTTGCCAAGACCTCCCACACTTTGCAAATTCTAATCTAATCTTGATTCTATATCTTGATTATTTGTCAAATTAGAATCTCCTTAAAATAGAAAGGAGTTGTATTATCAAGTCAGAACATGTCAGAATCTGCAAGTGCAATGTATACTTTCTTGTTTTGTTTCTTTTTTAATTAAAGTTGACTCCATTGTACTTATTGTTTTAAAGCACAAATATTTGGTTAGTTTTGTGTTGTTTCTTACTGAGATTTCAGCAAGACTTTCATCACTACTTAAGTTAGAAACAAAATTCCCTGAAAACAGAATGTTTTTGTTTGGTTTTTCTCAAATTCAGATGTGCCTGATGGTTGAGCATGAAGGGGGAAAAAATATCGGGCCACTAATAGTGACTGACTTTCCAAGGAGGTTACTTCTCTCAGTTCCTGCACTTTCCCGAGTTCCTCCAAACTCTGTTGGATTTGGTAGTTTCATGTTTGTGCCAGGTAGCCTGGAGAAGAGCACTGGCTGTTATATAGTGTCACAATTTGACACTAGTGTGTCAAAATGCCTGGTTGTGCTGGGGTCCAAGTATAAAACAAACTAGACAGCAGTTGCAGGAAGTTTTTCATCGATGCTCTCAGTTCCCCCCTTCCTTCCTTTCCCCTGCCTATTCTTCACATTGAAACTGCTGTTAGATTTTTCATACTAAAATGCTGTTTTTTCCATATTTAACTTTTTTTTAATTTTAAGCTCGATGGTATTGATTTTTCTCATTGCACATTCTCTGAATCTCTGGCAGAAGTCCTGGAGGGGATTTGGGAGCGAAGAAGAAGAAGAAGAAGCAGAAGAGAAAAAAGGAGAAACCAAATTCTGGAGGCACCAAATCAGATTCTGCATCTGACTCCCAGGAGATTAAAATTCAACAGCCTTCAAAAGTGAGAGCCTGGTTCTGTTTTTATTTGTGCTTGCTTTCAATTTAATTTTAATTTGTGTGTTGCTTTTTGTAAAAGCGAGTTGGTAGTTCTGCCTTAACACATCAGAATTAAGCAAATGGTTACTGTCCTGAATAGAGACAGAAGCAAGGTAAGACCTGGTGTTTGCAGACTGTATGAAGTTAGCTGGAGAGTCATCATCACCACCACGGTGGTGTACTGTGAGAAAAGCAGAGGAGGAGGTGTTCTGTCTTTCTTTTCCAGCAGTTAGAACTCAGATTAGTGACAGCTTCATCACAGGGAATTTTAATCTGCAGTGGTAATGCTTTTAAATAGATTTTGTGTTTGATGAATTGCCTTTAGTTTAGCCACCGTCTAACTTGGATAAATGCAGTTTCAGTAGCTTGTACAGCATAATGCTATCTCATGGCGAGCATCAGCAGGAGGAGGCAAGGGGTACCTGCTGTGCTAACTAGAGTCTCATTTGGGCAAACAAGCAGCATGTCATCTTACATAAAAAGCGTTGATCTCTAACATGGAGATACGGACTGAAGAAACTTTTTGCCATCTGAAAGGCCTCCGCTGTAAATAAGAATGCAAAATTATGTGAGGGAATATACAGTCTTTGTGGGCTTTGTGGTAAAATAGCATTGTCTATGTGCTTTTGACTACCATGTTCTGAATGAATGGTGAATAATATGATGTGGTGGCTTTTTAACATACAGCTTTTATCTCAAGAGAAATCTGAGCCCAAGAACTGAAGTTTCTAACATGATGATAAGGAAGTTTATGGACAATTGAGCATGTTGAAGTAGTTATATTTGCTTTATCAGATTAATGTGGAGAAAGTTACGCTGTTTTACCAGTAGTACTAGTCATCCTGTAAGATTTGTCAAGTACATTGGGGCTACCAACTAATTTTAGGGGAAAAAGTTGTGTTCTGGCTTATTAACATACTGATAGATTTTCTGTTGTCCCTTTAGATCTCCTCTGTGTCACCCCCATTGCTTTGAATCGTCACATTTGGCACAGGGGACACTTTAAAATATGTAGAGAGATCTTAAGTACTTTCAGATCTCACCACATATTTTGATACTGTGTTTCTGTAAAGCACGTGACATGAATTGCTAATACAAGAAGACTGTTTGCGAGTGATAACTAAGTAATCTCAAACTCTTTTATAATTGGAGTGAGGACAATTTTAATGTTAACATAAAGACATAGTTCATTGTTGCGGTATCCTGGGAGTTCCTTGGTTCCCTGCTGACCAAACTTACTGTTCCATATGTTCCCTCTAATTGCATTAAAAGGAAGCTGCTTCACTTTTTTTTGTTTTCATGTGCAAGATTTTAGTCCTCGGCACCTTGCAGTCTTGCACACCATTTCTCTGGCATGATGTGTTTCGTAAATGTGGAAGCCTATCCTTGTTCTAAGTTGTGTACTTAGAGTGGCATTCTTCGTGATTATTTTACTGTCACAAGAATTTTAGCCAGTTTGTTAGCAATGTTACAAAATTTTCTCTTTTATTGGCATAAGTAAGAGCTTTTCTTTTAAGTCTTTCTCTCAAGCTCTAGGCAGCTAAACCATTTTACTATTCTTATATGGCTTCCACTTTTCCCTAGTTGCAAATGCATCAACGTTGGCTTTTTTTTTTTGCCTTCTCTGCTGTGTTCCAGGTGTACACACTGATAAGTAGATGAGTTTCCCTGTCTTGGACAACTTTCCTGTTTTAGATTTTTTGAAAGCATCTTGACTGCTGATCTGCATCAGTGTGGCGAAGTATATTTATTTTCTCTGCTACTCAAGTGATATTTAGATTTTCTATTCCTTTTGCTATGTCAAATGTATTATAGAAAAAAGGCTTTTAGCATTTGCTTGCTCTTGGTTGAAAAGAGGTTTACAAAATATTTCAGAGGAAAGTGATGTTATACACCTTACCTCTAAGAGAATAGATGCAGGATCATCAGGTAATACTCAGTGGGGCTTCTGAACTCCTTGAAAATGGCTTTGAAAAAAGATTTAGAGGTCAGGTGAGTTTGTAAACAGGCGTACCAGTCTGGAGATGAGAAAAACGGAACAGTGGGTCTCCTTGACTTCTCACTCTCTTATTTGTGATAGTGGACTTTTTGAACACTGGCATGAGTGTAACCACAGCAATAAATGCTTGTTACCAGTGTATGCTTACGATGACCTTTAGGACACTTCACTGCCCATCTCACAAGACTTTGATCTTTGCCCACTACAAGTCCCAATGATGTAGACTGTCCGCACTGACACAAATGAAGCTTGCCAGATCTGCGCTATTATAAGTCATTATCGTAGTCACCAATGGCCTACACAACATAGTCACAGAACAACGTAGATTGGAAGGGACCTCTGGAGGTCTTTCAACCAATCTCTTGCTTAGAGCAGGTCCAACTAGATCAGGTTCCTCGGGCCTAGATCAGGTTGTTTGGTCTCCAAGGGTGGAGACTCCACAACCTCTGTGGGCAACCTATTCCAGTGTTTGACTATACTTGTAGTTAAAAAAAAAAAGTAATTCCTTATATCTAAATCCATTGTTTCTTGTCCTATCATTGTGCTCCTCTGAAAAGACTTGGCTCAGTTTTCTTTACATCCTCCTATTAGGCAGCAATAAAATTTCTCCTACTCCCTTAATCTTTTCTTCTTAAGGCTGAACAAACCAAGGTCTCTCATCTTCTCCTTGTATGTCACGTGCTTCAGCCCCCCAGTCATCTTGGTGGCCCTCTATTGAACTTGCTCCACTATGTCAATGTTTCCCTTGTAATGGGGAACCCAAAACTGAGAGATGTGATTTCAGGGGTCCCAGATAAAGGGGGAGACTTGCTGGCCAGTTTTACTGGTACAACCCAGTATGCAGCTGTCCTTCCTTGCTGGCCAGCAAACTGCTGGCTCACGTTCAGCTCTCTGCCCACCAGGACCTCCAAGTTCTTTTCTGCAAAGCTGCTTCCTAGCCAGTTCATGCTGGCCTCTGCCATTGTGTGGTTTTTTTCTGTCCCAGATGCAGGACTTTGCATTTGCCTTTGTCAAACTTCATGACGTTTCTGTTTCCAGCCTGTCAAAGTAGCTTAGAATAGCAGCTCTGCTGTCCAGCGTTTCAGCCATTCTTCCCAACTAGGTATCATCTATGAACTTGCAGAGAAAGCACTCTTTGTCACGTCGAGATCGTTAAACAGTATTGATCCCTGAGTTCTCAAAATCCTCCTCCTTGCCTTCTTGAAGATGGGTGTGACATTTCCCTTTTTCCAGTCGTAAGAAACTTCCACCAATTGCTATGACCTTTTAAACTTGATACATGCTAGTTGCTGTAACATCAGCCAGCTCTCTCAGCACCCTCAGATGCATCCAGTCTGTTCTTATGGACCTGTGCATGATTAGTTTGCTAAATGGTCCCTAACTTTCTCTCCTGCTGTGGTTAATGGGAGTCTCACAGACTGTGCTACAAGGCTCAGGGACATCAAAGGTCTGAGGTCAGATCTTGTCACCAAAACTGAGGCAAAAAAAAGTATTGCATACCTCAGCCCTGTTGCACAACAATGCCGTCTTATGCTGTGAGGAGATATTTCCCCTAAACTGAAATTAAACAAAATCTCTCTTCTTTCTAATTCATGTGAAGTTCTGTGTAGGTTTTTCTTGCTTTCCATTAAAGGAAAACAAAAAGGGTTGAAAGTAAACTTCTTAGCCAGGCTGATCTCTGAATGTTTTGAAAGGAAGGGAGATTCCTTCTGATGTCCCTAGCCATGTTGTATTTAGTACCAGAACATGAACTTTCTACTTTACATATGCTAGTAAGATCTTTTTAGAACCTAATATCTTTTTTAGTTAGATTTTCTGTTTTCTTCTTCTTAATATAGAAAAAACATTAGAGACTTAAAATAAACATACAAAAAATTTACAGTATGTCAATATTTATGCATAATTTCATAATGTACTGGTAAGATTTCGGAATTTATCTAGTGGCATTAGAATTATTTGTATCAGGCCAGTATGTAATAGACAAATTGATTTTTAGTTGAGAAAAGTAACTTATGTCGCTGTAATCTGGATCTAGAAATAGGGTAGGTTTTTTATGCCGCAGTAGTGTTGCTCTAAAGTGTGTAAATGTGTTAATTCACAACTACTCAGATGACAGGTGTTTAAAGCATGCTCACAGGTCAAATTTTGCAATACTTAATGAAAGAAATTGCACAATGTTTAGAGAGTACAAGTTTTTATTATAAATAGAAAATGATGGCCTGCTTGAGCTACAGGCAGGGAGTTTTACTTCTTTTGTGAATGAGGGTACTAGAGGCAGATGCCCATCCAAATGAAGCTTTACATCATTATTACATGTAATTTATGGTGGTTTTCAACACATGAATCCTAGAAAGAAAGTGAAATCCAGAAACAGTGATCCACTGATATTCAGTAAAAAAAACATCTGGTTTGAAATCTCTATGCAGAATTGCTTAAAATTTTCCAATGCATCTGAGACTATTCCTTCAAATGTATTTATTGCACTGCAGTCTGGGAAAACCTGAGTACAAGCATGCTGTTAGTATGCCTCAGAACAGAATTTGCCACTTGGGAGATAACAAAACAAAACAAATGAATAGATTAAAAAAGAGGGAGAGAAAAATCCCTTTAGATTTAGAAGTCTTACCATTATTCCTCAGTGTTTTCCTGTGCAGGTAAAATTCTCATTCCAGTTACATTTACTCAGAGTGATCAAAAGTGCGGGTTTAAGAGCTCAGTTTAGAAATGCTTAGCCTTAGGTTTTATGCTTTTCAAATAACTTTTTTATAAAGATTTTTCAACTTTTAAGTGGAAAGTCGGTTTGTTTTATGTCTGTCTGCTTCTATCAGTTAAAATTATCTTTAGTTGTGAGTGTTGGCACAGTTGGCGTTAGTGGCAAGATGATTAACTCCCACATATGATAAAATGCAGAAAGATACCTACTATAATAATTGCAAGATAATAGAAGGCAGATACAATATAACTTAAGATTAAAAAGTGGATATTTGTAGCAATACAGTGTACCTGAAATACTGAACCATAGTGAAATTAAATATTATTTTATATTGTATGTGTAAAGTACAGCTTCAAACATGTCTGTCTGTACCAGTGGTATCTTTAGTTTGTTAGATATGTAAGCTGATCTGCTTTTTGCTGTTTTATTGTATTTTACTGGGAGGGGGGCAGGGAATATAAGAAGCTTTTTATTGTGATACTGGTATCCTGCCTTAATGCTGCAATATTTGTGTTAAAAACGCTGAAGATTCATGGTTAAATGCAAGTGCTACTAAAAAATTAAGTATTATGTGAAATTGCTTGTCTGTTGCCCACCTAACTTTCTACACTCCTGCCTCCGAAGGTAATACCTAAACTAACCATGATGAGAAGAGTACATGAAAGAATATGTAACGGTAAAATAAATGAACATGTTTGTACAACTTGTTCAAAGTAAACATACTAGATAAGCTTCCTCTTCTGTTTGTCCCTGTGTGCAGAATCCAGCCATTCCAATGCAGAAGCTTCAAGACATCCAGAGAGCGATGGAGCTGCTCTCTGCATGCCAAGGCCCAGCAAAGAATATTGATGAGGCTACCAAACGTAAATACCAGTTTTGGGATACGCAACCTGTACCTAAACTTAGTAAGTTTAACTGGACCTGGGCATAAGATCTGTCTTACTGACCGCTAAAAGAACGTGTGCCAGCTGTGTGGCACGTTCTCTAAAACGGGTATGAAGTTGGACTGCGCGCAGTAGAGATCCTTAATCTTTTGTGTAGTTTATGTGGAATTCTTGATGTTCTTTAGGAAAGTGCTTGCCCCTCCACCCCCCCCCCAAAAGATATGCAACAAAATACAGTGTTAATAAATCTCATTCTGATGTTCTCTATAAAAATGGGAAATGCTACTGAAATAGCATTCCTTTGTATATTTTAGGTCTGAACTCTTGAACAACAGAATGCAGAAGTCTTTTCTACTTCAGGGAAAATAAGAACTCTTAAGTGGTGGCAAAGAATAAACTTTGAATTTTTTTTTATTTGTTTATTTATTTATTTATTTTCCCTTAATTTTTTTTTCAATAGCTAGATTTGCTGTCACAGAGATGATGACTCTCCTGCTGTAGGTTACACTGTTTTCATGCAGCTTTAAGTGGATAATGGTGCTTCGCTCATGCATGAACACTTCTGCTGCTGTGTGTTCACATGCTTCCTCCACAATGTACACTACCTTGAAGACATGCTTTCTCAGAGTCCGTTCTCTGTTTGGTACCAAGTGAGATGGGGAGGTGACCTCTCCTTGCCTTTAATTTTGTAAGGAATTTGGCAGATTACTTTTTATACTGATCTGATCCCTGATAACACAGTTGGTAAATCTTAGCCTTTGTTGGAAAAGATAGTTGCTGACTTTTGCTTTTTCTGAATTGCTTTCTGAAGCTTCTTCTTCCCCCTTTATTATCTTCAAGTTAAGCAGTTGTAGCTCTTCAGTGCCAACGAAACTTGGGGACCCCACAAGTAAAGCAGTCTCAGCGCAATAGCTGTCATTGTTCTGTTCTGCAGGTTTCTCTCCGTGCCATTGGAGACTGGTGTAGAATAAGCAGAAATAAGGTAGAGCCTAAAGCACAGGAGCACTCCTCTCTCTCTCCACAGGGCAGCATTTCACATTAATCCATTTCTATACCTTAATCCACAGTGATCTCATTTCTCCCTGACTTCCTTGCATAGAGAAGTCCAGAGCAGAGTCCTTGGATGCAGTGTTTTCCACTGGATTGAACTGACCTGCCCTGGCTCTTCTCCATACAAACTCTATACAGATACCTCTGTAAACTAATGGTAGTAATTGTCAGAGTAATCCTGCCTAGGTGGAGGAGGAGCCTAGCTGAAGTAAGTTGATGTGTAAATCAAAAAATACTCTAGCCATAACAAAGCTTTTTCAGAGCTAGTTCAGGTGTCTGTGCAGCAGTTCCAGGAGTTTAGTTCAGGTTAGTCAATATATCTTACAATATTGTCAATATATCAATATCAATATAGTCAATATATCTTACAGCAGTTCTATAGAGATGAGAGCCTGTCACTTGCCAGCCTAAAAGGACCAATACATTGGCTCTAAAAATGATTTGTTAGTTTTGTTCAGTAGAAATATGCTTTGTTGAATTTGGCCAGCAGAGGTTTTGTTCAACAGTGTTTATTAATTGCTTCTTGATCCCATTATTTATTTTTTTTAAAGCTTTTCTTTTATCAGCTGAATGAACATATTGGGAAGTCTTCACTATTCGATATGCTGGATATGTTTAGGTGGAAAAAAATAATCTGTTGATTCAAGAAATAGCTGTAGGGATCTTTGCATTAAATTAACTTCAGAATCCTTCTGCCTTCTAGTTAAGGCTGTTAGCAATAGGTCCTTTGGTTAGGCCAAGTCTGCCGTGTAGTGGCAGCAACATTTAGACTATTGATACTTTCCAGAGTTTGCGTAAAGATGCTGGTAATGTTGACCTTCCATACTGGATGGCAGGCTATAACTATTTGTCTGGATTGCGCGTCATTTGGGAAAAGTTCGTACTACAAAGGAACATTTGACTGTGTAGGTCTTGATGGTGACGATAGGGTTGAGTGTTTATGGGTAAGAATCGGGGGAAGGCTAACAAGGCAGATATCATGGTGGGAGTCTGTTGTAGACCACCCAACCAGGATGAAGAGGCAGACAAAACATCTGTAAGCAGCTGGGAGAGGTCTCACAATCGCTAGCTCTTGTTCTCATGCGGGACTTCAACTAACCAGATGTCTGCTGGAAATACAATACTGCAGAGAGGAAACAGTCTAGGAGGTTCCTGGAGTGTGTGGAAGACAACTTCCTGACACAGCTGGTGAGTGAGCCAACTAGGGAAGGTGCCCCGCTGGACCTGCTGTTTGCGAACAGAGAAGGACTTGTGGGTGATGTGATGGTTGGAGGCCATCTTGGGCATAGTGATCACAAAACGATAGAGTTTTCGATTCTTGGAGAAGTAAGGAGGAGGGTCAGCAGAACTGCCACCTTGGACTTCCGGAGGGCAGACTTTGGCCTGTTCAGGACGCTGGTTGACAGAGTCCCTTGGGAGGCAGTCTTGAAGGGCAAAGGAGTCCAGGAAGGCTGGACATTCTTCAAGAAGGAAATCTTAAAG